TGGGCTGTGGCTCCTGCGTGTGCAGCGCAGGCATCCCTGAATATTCATCAGCTGCTGCCGCCTCCCCTTGCCGGACCGGCTCGGAAGCCAGCGCCCCCCCATCTCCCCCGGCCCCCATCGCCGCCGCCAAGGGAGGCAGAGCCAATTTTCTGGCTCCCTCCCTCCCGCAACGCGCCTGCGCCTCCGGAACACCAAAAGGGAGAGGCGCGAGGGAAGCTTCAGAATGATGGGGAAGGGAGGTGTTTTTCGGGTGGCCTCCCCTTCCAAAAGCCACATCTGAGCGCCAGCTGCGCCCTCCCTCCCTGCCAATTCTTCCAAACCGTTGTCTTTTCTGTTTTCCAAAGCTAGCTAGAACTTAAGAACTCCTTGCCTGGCCGCATTCTGATGGCGCCCCTGAATCCGGGATAATCAGCCCAGGGGATGCAGATGGGAAGAGCCAGCCGCTGTTGAGATCAGGCTCCAGAGGGCTGCAGCAAAGGAGGCCAGGGCGGCGAAAGGGTTTAGCGGGCTTCTCTTCCCCCCCCCCCAGCTCCGAAGCAAGGCCCGGCGGCTGCAAGCGCTGGGGACGCTCTGTCACTTTCGGGGGGATTTAAGTATCCCCCCGATATTTTTTTTTAAGGTTTCAGATTTTTGTGCACACCTGGGGACTGCCCCAAGTGTGCACAAACATCTCCCTCCCCCCCAGGTGCCCCCAATGTGCGGAAATAAGTATCCGCACGCAGGGGGCGACTTCGGAATTAGATATATAGATATGGAGCAGAGGTCCATCAGTGGCTAGGAAATAAGTATCCACACGTAGGGGGCGACTTCGGAATTAGATATATAGATATGGAGCAGAGGTCCATCAGTGGCTATTAGCCACAAGGTATAGATAGGGGCTCTGGGGCAAGTGATGCTCTGCCTTCTTTGTGCTTGTGGGGGGGGGGGTCAACAGTTGGAGGGCTTCTAATGTCCTGGCCCCACTGGTGGACCTCCTGATGGCACCTGGTATTTCTGGCCACTGTGTGACACAGAGTGTTGGACTGGATGGGCCTTTGGTCTGATCCAACATTGGCGTCTCTTATGTTCTTATGATCTAGAACTAGTTTTTGTGCCACTATGGTGCCACAAAATGGTAGATGCATTATATTTGTGGTGTTGACTATAGACTAAGACCATGATCTATTTATTTGATTTCTAGCCCATCCTCCCCTGCACAGCAAGGCTCAGGGTGGGTTACAATAATATGTAGATGCCAACAATCATATGAATTCATGAGGGTACATGCCTCGAATTCATGTTTTTGTATTATTGCTATGCCGCAATGTACCAACTCCGTTTTTTTTAAGGTTCAGTCTGTGGCTCTGGCTTTGACATGTGATTAGATAGTGAATTTTGGGGAGTTCAGTGAAAAAAAACTAAAGGATCCATGTAGATCTGGCTTTTACCTTTTTTCCTGTCACATTCAGCATCATGTTTAAATAAGGCCTCATGGTGGGGTGGAAATGATAGTATGTGACTAAGGCCACATGCAATTGTATGTGTGCATACCCTGATGGATGTTACACCTCACACCACAGTAGGATATTTCTGAGTAAGCATGTATATGAGCCACCACTCTTGTACTGTTTATATATCCTGCCTTTCCGCCAAGGCCCTCAAGGCGACTTACAGTTTATTTTAAACGATCAAAAACGCAACTTTGCCATAAAATCTAAAATTCAAAATACACAGGTTAAACAATTCAGCAGATTCGTAGTAGTTGTCTTCAAAGGCTCGAGAGGGCAGGGTCCGTCCTGCTTATCTAAAGAAACAGAATCATGCAGGTAATAGGAGCGAAAATCTCCCTCCACCCAACAATGCGAGAACTAAAGCGCAGCTGGCAAGGCACCAAGCCAATTATAACACGTCTTTCCGCTCCTAAATTCAGATATAAGGCGGCAGCAGAGCCGGGGCAAGCTGAGAAAGCTCGGTGCCTTGTTAGGAAGTGAGGCCGTCCGACGTCGGAACAATTTGCGGTGACTGTAATCCTCCGGGCACAATCAGGCGGCGTCTCGCGTCGGGGAGAAAGAAAGAGAGAGACCTCCCCGCCTCTAGCTGGAGCTGCGGCGATACTTTCAAGGGCTCCCCGGACTCCAGGCAGGGCCATTGCGGTGCCGCATTCTGCCAGCCAGCTTCGCCGCGTTTTCTTCTCCACTCGCTCTGCCTGGCTGCAGTGGCAGCTCCCTTGGTGCAGTCATGTTGGCGGCGAGGTTAGCGACATCATGCCGATCACCGTCTGTGCTGCTGCTCAGGGGCGTCCCAGCAGGCTACAATTCGTTTCATTCCTCGACGCAGCACCTCCGCGGGGCCAGGGTCGCTGTGGTGAGTCCCGCTGAGCGGCCAGCCGGCTGAGCGCGGTGGTCTTGTTGCTGCTATTAGGAAAAGGTCCCTGATAGCCTCGAAGGAGAGGCCTCCCTCAAAACGTGGAGCAGGCGATGCCTGTCTCCCTTCCCTTCTGCTTTAAGGCCCAGGCAGAAATTCAACAGGTGCCCCCTCATGGTTGCCGTGAGGCCCACACGCCGCGCGCGTTGGGTTTCTGTCGGTTCTGCAGCGGGTAAAGACAGAGGCACCGCGGTGGGGAGAAAGGGTGGGTGGCAGTCTTTAACGTCTGGGTGCAAATGTTCTGGCTGGGGGGGGGAAAGGGGAGTCAGACATGCTTTAGTGGTATCTGAGGAAATGTGCGGGCGCACGAAAGCTTATACTTTGAATAAAACTTTGTCGGTCTTAAAGGACTCAAAGTTTGTTCTGCTACTTCAGGCCAACAGGGCCACCCACCTGAATCTATGCTTTACTTGGGGCCCAGGATAATCCTGCATTTATGTTTGAATTAGTGTGCCTCCTAAAATGGCTTACAATAAAACATCTAGCTGCACAAAACTTTGTCATACCAATTTGCGTGGGGGGGGAATAATAACAGTCCAAGTTTGATTTATAATTTATAAATCAATCCAGTTCAGTTCAAGGCTAAATATTTGAGTCAAATTGGAGGTCCTGAAAGTCTTAAAATGTCACACAAGCTTTAACATAGCACCGTAGTATCATTTTCATGTTTCATTGATTTCTGTACTTTTATCATAACATACGTGTTGTTGTCAAAACGCTCTAAGAGAAAACTAATTCTGTATAACACCTGAACTGTTTCTGGATGACTTGAAATACTAAAGTTTCTCATCCAGCATGGGTCTCCTGTTGGACTTTCTAATAAGGAGGTCTCTAGTGGTAAAAGTATCTGGGAAATACATACTGGGGCAAAAGACATGTTGTAGGATGCTAATCCTCAACACTGTAACAAACTACAGAGGTCAAATTTGAGAAAAATGAAGAGTCATATCGCAGCACTAGTTGTTCTTTGAATATGTGATATACTTGTTAATAAGTCTGATCCTAAACATGTACAGTTGGAAGAAAGTCCGAGGCCAGTAAGGCTTACTCTGCTAAGTTCCTAAACATGTACAGTTGGAAGAAAGTCCAACAGAGGCCAGTAAGGCTTACTCTGCTAAATTTGTTTAAAATTTCAGTTGTACATTGAAATTCCAAACTGAGTGTACTTCTGTGTAATTGGAAGTCACTTGTTATTTCCAAGTGAATGGTATTAGGGTCATAGCCACAACCTATTTTATACTTACATTTCAACCGTCCTGATTGTTAACTGCTGATTCCAGTTTTGTTTGATAAGGCTGTGGTTCCCATTATTTTATCCGTGTTTTGGCTCCCTCCCTTTCTGTTTTCCACGCTGCCAGTTAAGATCCTCCTTACAATCCCAGCTCTCTACCAGCAAAGTGAGGCAGGTGGTGGCTAGAGACCCTTCACCAGTGGAATGGCCTTTCCCTTGAGGCTCACCTGACATCTCACCTTACTTTCATTTAAGCTCAGACAAAAACATTTTCCCCAGGTTTTGAACTAAAGCATTTCATCTTTTGAAAAATGTTTTTAAACAGTCTGCTTCTAATCAAGGGATCATTTTATGAGGATCATTTCAGGCTGTTAAATGTTCTGGCTGGGTTTTTAATGGCTAAGGTCTTGATCCCTTGTTACTTCTTATTATTTTTATGTTGTTTTATTATTTTTCATGTTATATTTTTTTAGCTGCCTCAAGCAGCTCAAGAGGGTGCATATGCTTTTTCTTAATAAGGAAGTAAGATATTGTTGTGATCCTGGAAAAAGTATAAATTGTTAAACTGGGACTCTTTCTGCAGGTCCTGTCCGGATGTGGTGTTTATGATGGCACTGAAATCCATGAAGCTTCAGCGTAAGCATATTTGTACAAGTAAAAGAGCCAAAATGATCCTTAATTAATCAGTCAGTTGAGCTATTTGGTACAGGTCCAGTTCCCCTTCCAAATGCTAGAAGGCTTCTCCCTTAAGAATTCTGAAGCAACCTCATCCCTTTCCTCACAACATGTTATGTCTTAGTAATATGATCAAAATCATCTTGATTTATTCCTTCCACTCCCATTTCTTTCCCTGTGTAGCATATTGGTCCATTTGAGCCGTGAAGGAGCCAATGTTCAGATGTATGCTCCAAATATTTCTCAAATGCATGTCATTGACCACTGCAAGGGACAGCCGACTAAGGGTGAATCAAGGTGAGAGAAGCATGTAAAATGCACTATATGAAGACATTGCTTAATACAAATCAGCTTGGTATTGCACTGTAAAGCTCTGTTCCAAACACACTTTCCCCATCCAGGATTCCATGTAAATAGTATTCCTGTTATTCTGATCATAGTACTGATTGATCTGAATATCAATCAATCAATCAATCGACCTTTATTGGCATAACATACAGAACATAAGACTCAATTTGCAAGGAAGATTGATCTGAATATAACCCACAAGATGTTTGAGTGATAATATACGATAATAAACTTGAGTTCAGTAACATTGTCAGAAATTTATCTGAGGACAGTATATAGACACTTTTTATGTAGTGATTTTACTAAAGCCTCCGCATTCTATTCCTAACTCGATGTATACATATTTTTTATGACTTGCAGCAGTTTCAATGTTACTGTTTACTTTGCTTGTGTGTGTGTGAACACTCATACATAAGTAACGAATGGTGCTTTTTTCTTCAAGAAATGTTTTGATAGAATCAGCAAGGATTGCCCGTGGCAAAGTTACAGAACTGGCTAAACTTACTGCAAAAGATCACGATGCTGTGATATTTCCTGGGGGCTTTGGAGCTGCCAAAAACTTGTGAGTATTAATGATAAACTACCATAATACTTTATTATTTTGTTACTGAGCTCCAGTGTGCAATTGTGATTACTGAGCTCCAGTGTGCAATTGTGATTAGCATGTTGAACTAGGATCTGGGAGAATGAAGTTCAAATCCCCACTGTGCTATGGCAGCTTGCTGGGCGACCTTGGATCTGTCACACACACTCAGCCTAACCCACTTCACATGGTTGTGGTAAAGATAAAATAGAGCAGAGTACTCATCTGTCACACACACTCAGCCTAACCCACGTCACATGGTTGTGGCAAGGATAAAATAGAGCAGAGTAGAATAATGTACGCTGCTTTGGGTCCCCATTAGGGGAGGAAGGTGGGATATAAATGAAGGTGTGGCCAGTGGGCCTGTCCCACAAGCCCAGAGCAGCAGCTAGACACCTCTGCCAGCAAGGAGATGGAAATGCCAGCAACTAGAGAGATGGGAATGGGGGCGATGGACCAGCTAGGAAGCAGGCAGCAGAGAAGCAGTGAGAGCTGTGGATGTCACCGAGGCTGGGGAAGACCAGGGCAGCAAGTCCAGTGAGGCCAGTGGCAGGAGCAGGAGGACTGGGGAATCCAGGGGCTCCAGCAGTGCCCATTCTAGGGATGAGGCAGTAGCTGGACTGGGGATGCCAGGTGACATGCAAACCCTGGGACTTGCCAGAGGGGCTTGAGGGCCAGGAACCGAAAGCACAGTGCTGGCTAAGACAGCAGGGATGGGCTCCAACGACAGAGGCACGAAACTCCAGCAAGGGAAAGGACTGTTCACTACAGGAAGGCACTGAGTCTAATGGTGGGTGTGGGGTCTGAGCACTAAAAGTCGTATGGCAGTCATTACATGTAAAGGGGAGTGCCCTAGGACAATGGGAGGGCCACACCTGCATGCCAACACAGAGGGTCCCTGGCCTGAGGCCACAGCAGGTCGTGGCAGCAGGAAATATATTTCTTTACTATTTGTAATACTTGGACTTCTTGGTAGCCAATGCATGAAAATTATGTTTCCTTTAAGCTATTCCAAGGAACATCATTAACAAACTCTGTTAATGCAGGCATGTGGTTTCTTTAGAGTAAATATTATCACTGCTCTGTGTGAGTTTGGGAGGCCCCATAAAAATTGAAATATGAACACACACACCCCAATGAAACATATATGCTGTCCTTTGTCTGTTCTGGTGCAGCTCTGTAAAAGTATCTATTTTCCCCAAACAGAGGTAGGTTCTTAATGATTTTAAGCATGGATGCCTCAAGGTTATGTACCACTAGTGCTGTGATGTAATAAGCAGTGTATTCTGCTGTTGTCACAGATCTACATTTTCTGTGGATGGGAAAGACTGTAAAGTGAATGGAGAAGTTGAGCGTGTGCTAAAGGATTTCAACAAAGCTGGGAAGCCCATTGGGTATGTACATTTTATGAATGATGTTTAACAACACTTTCTGTGTAATAGATGGTATCTGAAATGCTGCAGGCATACTTTTGTATGCTATTGTCTGCCTGGGACCGCTAAAATGGGGTCTGTCAACTACAAGGAAAGCTTCAGTGCTTGGCTGTGGGATGGCTTTTGGCTTGGCATAGGTCTGGTTTAGTTCATTAATTCAAAATAATGTGATAGTTGCTCTTCTTGATGCCTGTTGGCTTCCCAAGTTAGTTCTCGCCTTCTCTCAGGGCTTAATGACATTGTCTGTGTGCCTGCCCCAGGTTGTGTTGACTAGACATGCACCTAACAGTTCTGTGCTCAGAACTGAATTCTGAAAACACGCTCCAGTCCAGGTCCTGTGGACCAAATGTGTTTGGAAGTAAATTCTCAGGCATGCAGGGGCACAATTTAAATCAAGAAAAGGGGGCTTAAAGCCTCCTCCCCTGTGCCAGTTTCCTGACCTGAAATGGTTCTTTGGAGCTACTGTTTGCATTGCTGGGCAAAATTCATGTGTAGCTAATGGGTTACATGCAAGTTTCCTCAAGGTTTCCTGAACAGGGCAGATAGCAGCTCCCCAGGACATTTCAGGTCAGCAAAATGACTCATTGGTAGGCTTAAGCCCTTCCCCACTTGAACCATATCATGCCCCTGCATTCCTAGCAATTCCGTAGCAAGCATGTTTTGTCAACAGAGGCTGAGAACACACACACACACCCCTACACAAGGACGGTGCATCATGTAGTCAGGGCCTCTGATGTTGTTTCTTTTGCCTTAAGTTTCTCTTCTCAGCTCACTGCCTGTCCTCTTCCGCTTGGCCTTCCTTTATCTGGGTCTGTTTTGGACTCTGCTTTCCAGGTTTCAGCCTCCTGTCGTCTTTGCATTTTGGTTTCTTTCCCTCCACTCTACTGAAAGCACGTTGCTGTTTTTTTTGTGGTGAGCCTGTGCAGGCTTTTCCAGCATTCCCATTGATCTTTTCACCCCCTCTACAGAATTTCAACTGTGAACCTGCTATTGCTGGTTGTTTTCCTCCTTATTGGTTAAAGCCAAACCAGATATTGCACGGCAGATGTGTTTCATGGTCTCCCAGCTTTTTTAAAAATTGAGAGGCTGCCATTACAGATGCAGGGATTGTGGGAGTGTCACCCTCTAGTCAGGAGTGGACTGGGAAGTGAAAAGGGCTGTGGAGCAAGCCTGGTTGAGAGTGGCCCCATGGGGTGCTACAGGCCTACTCTTCAGGGCTGCTCAGCTCAGTGAGGATAACAGTGGGCGTTAGCTGACCCATTGCTTTCTCCCCCCAAATTGGAAGCAGTGTAGGAGGACACAATGGATAAGCTTGAACCCCATTGTTATTGCTGATGAAGGGTCTAAGCCAAGTGGCCCCTGAGGCCCTGGTGAATTCACTTGGGCTTGACTCTGCTCGCTTCTGGGCCCCAGTAGCCTTCTAGGGCAAGGGTTCCCCAGCAAGGTGCCCGTGCGTGCCATGGTGCCCACCAATACATTTCTTGGGCCCACCACGTGTTTTCAGGAAGTGGACAGGGCCAGGTGGGGCTTTTGCCCAACAGGGCTTCTTATTGGCCTTTGGAGAATCTGACTGGCTGAGCAGATTTTTTTTAAAAAAATTGCTTTTGGCAGCAGCTGTTGCTACAGCCGAGGATCTTCAGTGCATGACTGAAGGTGAGTGTTGTGCAGGCAAGAAAATATGTTTAAACACTATGTGCATTTAAAAAGGGTTTCTCTTTTTAAACAGAGCTTCTGCCTGAAATGTTAAAATGTCATGATTAGAGTTATGCATAACTTCCTGACATTTTGTGGTTGGCTTCACCTCTTGTGGCAGCCATCTCTGTGGTTGCATCCACCATCCTGCATCAGAATTGCAGAGTTGCCTGTAGGCTCAAAAAGATTGGGGATCCCTGCTCTAGGGCAATGGCCAACCAAGAAATGGCCAGTCCATCCCTGCCTCTAGCCATTTTTTAAAACTGAAAATTCCTCCCATCCCAGTTGCTTTTCCACTTATGGGTCAAAAGATGTATTTCTGTATTTTTCTCTGCAGATGACAAACCAGGTGGGGCCATTATGAAAGAGGAATTTCATTCCTTTTTAAAAAGAAGTTGTGAGAGTGTTATGTATTGATATGGCCCAGAGAAAGTTTGTATTTATGCATCATTGCAGAGATTCAGCCAGGTGTGTGTATATGCATACTGTAAGGCATATTTTGAATTTCTTTCTTCTGAGAGGTTTTGACAAGATAGTCTTTCCTTTTCTGTTTTGCTTTCCCGGTTCTTTTGCTGCAGGTGCCATTTGCCAGCATCATCACTGGTTTGCAGTTTGTTAAGATTTTAATTAATTAATTGATCCTCTTTTTCAGCTGCAAATTGATTCCCAAAGTAGCTCACAGAAATCAGGACAATGCATATAACTATTCAGTAAAAGCGTTCCTTGGGGAATGAAGGGATTTTCCACTGCTGCTGCTTGTCCCTCTGATTGGCCCTGTCAATGTCAGCAGTTGGAAACTGATTTGAGTACCTTTTGTGTATTAGCGTGTGCTTAAATTGAGTAAAGCCTTCATGAGGTGGATTTTTTACCTTGTAAGCTGTCTTGTTGGCCCAAGGAGGAATATAAATAGTCTACCTTTGCTTAAGACATTAAATCCTCTTATAAAGGTTTTCTGCCTGCTTCCTTCTAGTCTGTGCTGCATCTCACCTGTTTTGGCTGTCAAAGTTCTTCCTGGTACTGAAGTCACAGTAGGGCATGAAGAAGAGGAAGGTGGCAGGTGGCCTTATGCTGGAACTGCTGGGACCATCAAAGCAATGGGAGGGAAACACCGTGTTAAAGAAGTAACGATATCCTTTTTTGGGTTTGATGGATTGAGAAATAATTGAAGCATACTGTCACGCAGACACACTTGCTAAGACATTTTATGTGCTATACTTAGTAGAAGTATACCCTTCTGAGCCAATGGGCTGCAATGGACTTAAAAGGGTATAACTTTGTTTATGATGGCACTGTAAAATGTGTATGAGTTTGGCATGTGTAAGGCATTCTAGCAGTACACTTGTACACAAAATGTATTTTTTCTTTTCACAGAAGAACTTTCTGAAGGTTGTGTGTATGATACATTTAGATCAGATGGTAACATTCCCATTAGTGGTACAGCGGTAAGGTGTTGAAAGTCTTATTCTAGCATTCTAACAGTGCAATCGTGTGCAAAGTTGCTTCAGTCTAAATCAATGGACTTAGCTCGGCGTAACTTTGCATAGGATTGCACTGTAAAATATTCTTTTGCTGTCTAAGTAATGTTGCTTTGAGTACTCAAAAAGTATGGAAGCATTGCTTTAGGAAACTAATTACATTTTTGCTCAAGAGCATAACATCATGACCGGAGAATTTTTGGGTAGACATGTACTGTGTCTTAAAATTTCAGGATCTTCTGCAGTATTCTATAGATGCAAAATACAATGTTTTGAATACCAATAGCTTACAGTTTAAAAATGAATCTCAGAAGAGTTCTCCTTATCATTTTTCATATTGCCAACTTCACAGCAGTAGTAAAATAACACAAGAAAAAGAGAGATATTCTGCTAACTCTCAGATGAGTGTATACAGTTTGTTCTAACAAGGAAATATCACAAAGTGGCATTTTTTTCTTTCCTAATTACTTGATGTTGTAGTCTCTTTCTGCATACTGGTATTCAATTATAGTGAATACAATATTAGTTTTCAGTCATTGCATTTTGCACAATTGAATCCACAATGAAAAACAAGCTATTTTAAATGTATACAAGTAACCACAAGAAAATGATACGGAGTGTCATCAAGGTGAAGTTTCCGTATAAAATTTCATTGGCTAAGTTCAGCCTTAATTTTGGCCAAATGACTGGTGAGGCATCCTTCTTCAGGCTGTGGATGAGGTATCAGACAGTGAATGTGGGCATGAGAGAGAGAGGCGCAAAGTGTCAGGGAGGGGATTGCTTCCTGCTAATTTGTTGATTGTTTAATAGGCATCTAAAACGTAGGAACCACTGACTGTTATAACATGAGATTATGCTAAGCTACTGTTGGGAATATCTATTTGTGTCTCTAGCTTGCTTTAGTTGCTGTATTTTCCTTAACCGTCTTCCACGATGCCCATGTGGACACAGCCAACAAGGTGGTAACTACTCCAGCCTATATGTGTGAAACAGAATTGCATCATATCTTTGATGGTATTGGGACTATGGTAAAACATGTGTTGAAGATGACAGGCAAATGAAATAGATGCCTATGCTAGCAGCATAATAGTTTACAGACCTGACAACACTGATTTGATATAGGATTTACTTCTATGTAAACATGCTCAGGGTTGCATTGGACTGACTTGCTTAGGCCTATATGGAATCATTACCCTCTGTTTTTTCCCAACAAGCATTCAGGTGTGACACCTTGCTTGCTTCCTGACCCTCTAAAGCCATTTGCGGCATAGTGAAGCATAACAGATAAAACTTTCACTCAACAAAGTGAATATAATCTATAAGAAATTTCATGACTTATCATGGTCCCGGCAGTTAATATATTAGTGTAGAAAAGCAAGATGGGAATACATGACTGATCTAAAAATTGTGGAGCTCGGTATTATGGTGCTATCACGTTGAAGTCTCTGGTTAAGGTCATAATCAAGAATTGAAGGGTTAGGGTTTCCTCACTTGGTGCTACATCTGGACAGATACAGTAAAATTTCTAGGTCTAGTCAGAGCCTAAATAATTAGAATATTTCCAGTCACTGGATAAAGTAGAGATTACTTGTATTAGACTTGTAGTCCTGAGAAGACATATAGTATGAAATAAAAGGATGCATTTGTTACTGGCATAATTGTATTTGGCTTGATTTAATAAAATCAAACATATTATGACTAGAATGGCAAGTTGAACTAAACACGCACACACACACACACACACAACCCCAATTGTGGAAATAGTTGCGACAGAGCCGGCTGGAGTTAAATCCTGTGAAGATGGGGGTTCTGTACCTGAGCCGGGGGGAGTAGATTGGGGGATTAGGCTCCCTACCCTGGATGGAGCTCCATTGGTGCCAACCCAGAAGGTGAAGAGCCTGGGGGTGATCTTGGATGCCTCACTTTCCATGGAGGCCCAGGTCACTGCAGCTGCCAGGTCTGCCTTTTACCATCTGTGGCAGATCAGGCAGTTGGCTCCCTACTTCTCCCCCCAGGACTAGGCTACAGTAATCCAGGCAATGGTCACTTCCAGGCTTGGTTACTGTAACTTGCTCTATGTGGGCTTACCCTTGGGGCTGATCTGCAAACTCCAGCTAGTGCAAAATGTGGCAGCACGCATGGAGACTGCAACGTCTGTAGGGGTGCGCATCCAGCTGGTGCGCCGCCAATTGCACTGGCTACCAATTGAGTACCAGATCTGCTTCAAGGTGTTGGTGTTGGCCTTTAAAGCCTTATGTGGCCTGGGACCAACCTATCTACGGGATTGCCTTTCCCCATATATGCCCTGGAGAGCCTTGTACTCTGCAGAGAGCCATCTGCTGGCTGCCCCTGGCCCGAAAGATGCCCGTCTAGCCTCAGCCACGGCCTTTTCGGTCCTGGCCCCAGCCTGGTGGAACATGCTCCCAACTGAGATCAGGGCCCTGCGAGACCTGTTGCAGTTTTGCAGGGCCTGTACAATGAAGCTGTTCCACCAGGCCTTTGGTTGAGGCAGCAGACATCTACTAGCTGGCCTCCCTCTCGCCGCTACATGATGAGACCATCATGGCTCAGCATCGGACGACTTATTTTCCCCGGCTGTAGTAACTGGAATTAATTGCATTGCACTGCCCACTTTAAATATTTTAATTACTTTAAATTTAAAAGTGGTTTTATTGTATTATTTATTGTATTAATTTAGATTGTTTGTATTTATTGTTGTGAGCCGCCCTGAGCCCGTTCGCAGGAAGGGTGGAATATAAATTGAAATAATAAATAAATAGTTATATTTGCATACAGCCCATCTTCACTAAGCCTTGTTTTGTTATGAGAACACGCCTGGGAGGTCTTTGGGCTTGTGAACTGTCTTCTTCCTACCTGTAGTCCACTTATTTATACTTACGGAACAAACTCTTTTTACATCTATATTGGGGCAAATGGCAACTTGCAGTGTTTTCTGAAGCAAGAGGTTGTTGGTATCCAAGGTGCCACCACAATTTTCCAGTTGTAGCTGTGCAGTATGTATCAATGAACAGCTATTTGTTCCAGAACAAGACTTTCCCCCTATCCTAGCTACATAAGAGAAAGAGGGAGGAGGAGCACATAATCCAGAGGTTTGTTCTCATGAGTAGCTAGCCATGGGTTGTTCATTATATCCGAATGTAGACGTTGCGTACATTCCCCAGCTTTCCATAGCCTGCAGATGAGAAAAACAATTACTTTTTAAAATAGTGACCAGTAGAGGGCACTGTTTCTATTACTTTTCATCAAGTGTATCCCTTTTGCGCTGATATGAGCAAGAACTTTTTTTTTTTAAGAATGCATTTAGCTTGGCTTGGATTCTTGATGTACTTACTCACTTGTTCCCTCAAGTTTGGCAGCTATGAAAAGTAATCAGTTTGTTGACCTTAGTGTAATTGATAGGCTGTTTGCAAATATGTCCACAAATTCCATAAGCACCATAGCACGCAGCTTTCCTCGGCACAGTATAATGCTTACTCAGTATACTGGTAGTGGAATCTGTATTACCCAAATCATTCCCATGTCAGGCCTGTCTTGTGGAGAGCATCCCCTGCACATGAAGAACTGGAAATGAGTCCTGGTGCAAAAGGGCATCATGTGGGTCTGTTGTATTCCCAGCTCCCAGTTTAGCACAATAAATCTCCACGGAGGAGAAGGTGGAAAGGAGTTTAACTGGAAAAATAACCTTATTATCCTGTTCAAGGTGCAGATAAAAGAGGAGGAAATAAGATGGTATGTTTGACGGACTGCACTTTTTAAAAGCTTGGAAGTACTGTGTAAACAGATAAAGGATTGTGAAGGGTCTGGGCTTGAGTGACAGGCTGCTCCAGGCAATCTGATTGGTTAGCATCAGCTGAGCAGAGAAAGACTTGAGAGCTGCATGCTGAGGTAGGGGGGTGGACGGAGGCATCATAGTAGGACTAGGCAGTGAGACTGTGAGTAGGTTCAATGGCAGTACGGTAGCAATTTACTTTTGAGAGCCTTTCCATAAAAGCCCCCCCCCCATCTTTTTTTACCCCGAGATCCTCTGGCCTTCAGCAGTCAGAGGTGTGGAGGAATGCATCCAAGGCAGCATTGCCCATTTGGTGCTTTCAGGAGGAAGTAGCCTGACTGCCAGAATACTGGGGAACACTAATCAAGGATCTTTTACTTGGTCCTCCAAAGCTCCCGTGCCCATTGGATATGATTTTGATTTTCAGGACAATACCCAAAATTCTTAGAATCTCATCAATGCTGGACTTTTTGGTGATTCAGTCAAAATCCCAGGAACATTGTCAATACATTGTCCTCACACCCAAGTGACTCAGCCAGCTACAATTGGACTCCTCTCTTGGTCTTCATTACATCACCCTGCTGCCTCCTTACAACTGAAAATTTAAACTGTCCTATGACAGCTGGGATTCTGACCTTAGTACTAATGGGGTCTCAAATCCTAAAGCTGCACCAATCCAAGCACAGCCTAAATTCCACCAATAGCTGGCCGAATGCCACCACAGTTCCTAATAGCAGTGTCCCCCCTATTTGTGTCCAGGTAAGTACGGATGGTCAAAGCAATGGTATTCCCAGTAGTCACGTAAGGCTGCGAGAGTTGGACTATAAGGAAGGCCAAGCACTGAAGAATAGATTCTTTTGAACTATGGTGCTGGAGAAGACTCTTGAGAGTCCCTTGGACTGCAAGAAGATCAAATCAGTCAATCCTAAAAGAAATCAACCCTGACTGTTCCCTGGAAGGCCAGATAAGGAAACTGAAGCTCAAATACTTTGGCCACCAAATGAGAAGGGAGCACTCACTGGAGAAGACCCTGATGCTGGGAAAGATTGAAGGTCAAAGAAGACGGGGAGGGCAAAGGATGAGATGGTTAGACAGTGTCATAGATGCAACGAACATGAAGTTGAGCAAACTTCAGAGGATGGCGGAAGACCGGAAGGTCTGGCGTGATCTGGTCCATGGGGTCGCGAAGAGTCGGACTCGACTGTGTGACTGAACAACAACAAGAAGTACGAATACATAAGCAGGGCACTCAAAGCAGGATGCCCCCCACATCTGGGAGTTGGCTTTACTCCAGATCCTCCTTCCTTTGCTGAAGCCTCTGGAAACTCCTCATCAAGACAGGTGGAGTATGCTTTCCCCCCTCCCATACTGCTTCCCTGCCTGGAATTCACCCTCTATGTCATCCTATCTGCTCCCTTCTCTGTGGCTGGTCTGCCATACTGCTAGCTAGTCCTTCCTCACAGCATCCCCCCATCTCAAGAGGGACCCCTTCCCCCTTTATCCTACTGCATCTTCTGTCTCTGTGAAGGGCAGTGTGTAAAACCAACTCTTCTTCCCCTTCTCCTCATTCTCAAAAAGCCAAAAATGTTTTGTATTGTGGGTTAACTGGAAGTGAATTCTTGGCACCTTCTACACTGCAGCAAACATGGACTCTTAGATCTGGATGTTCGCAAAATTCATAGCTGAGAGTAACTTTCTTGACCACACACAAGTCTTTTGAGCCTAGTGGTATGACAAAGTACAGATGTCCTGCACAAAAGCAACCCCCCCCCCAGCCTTGCACAGTAGCCTGCAGGCCCTGTAGTGATCATATCTACACGTTTCACACAGAGCTGTTTCTTTTAATGTGGGTTACAGTCATGTCCTAAAACAGACTTTGCCATTCAGTGCAGTGTTGCTGTAGAAATAACTGCTAGGAATTTATAAATAACCTTTCCTATGATTACAGACAAAATGCCAGAAAACATCTCCTCTCCCTCTTTGCAAGGAATCTCTAGTTAACCTAGTGATAAATCAGTGACCGAAAATGTCTACATATTACAGTTTCTTTGAAAACACTTTTTGGATTCTATATTGCACTAGGAAAAAGGTGATCCAGCTCCCTTAATGAATATACAAGGCAGGTAAGATGGCATGGTACAGCCTGATCTTCTCATCATATTTTGGAAGCTAAGCAGGATGGGAGAGGAAGGCAATGGCAACCCACCTCCACTTCTCTCTAGCCTTGAAAGCTCCTTGTTGGGGTTGCTGTCAGTCAGTTGTGATTTGATGGCACTTAAGTACATAATGAATGTACAAACAGTGCTATCAAATCCTTATCCTAAAACAGTCTTCAGAACATTTTTGAAAATCTGTTAGCATGTGACTTTATGCCCGGAAGCTCGTCATATTACAAATTTCAAATTGATTCCATAAGCCTGCTGGCATGTGATTATCTTTGGCTTTTTTGCACAGAGAAATCAGATTCTGTTCCTTCTTGTGGTTTGTGTTTGACAGCAGTAAAATGACTTCCTCTTTTTCCCAAATTTCCCTTTCCTTCCCCTGGCAGTTAATTTTCCTTTTGTGGTTGCTGAATTTTCTCTGTGTGTAGGAATCAAGCAATTTCTCTAAAATTCTGTAGCTTCTGTCTTTAAAAGAGCAGGAAAAATTATGCCATGTTAATAACAGCTCTGAAATTTCAACTGAGTCTCTGGAGGAAAAGGAAAGAATTGATGGTGGGGGGGGGGTTGTATTTAATTGCTTAAAGGAGCAATCCTAAATCCCATTTTGTTCACTACTGTTTACTCCCAGAAAAGTGTTCCTTTTGATTGCAGTCTTAGTCACCACTGTTATTGGTATATAAGCAAAATTGATCTTCAAAAATTGAGCTGTTATCTAGTATATCCAGAATATGCCCAATTTAAATTTTGTTAGCAAATCACTTTTGCACTGAGGTGATAAAAGCAATTACAGCTTGAAAGTGATATTTTCTTTTGCATTAAAACTGGCTCTATGGGCCTGAGAAACTGGTTGGCTTAATGACACCACTGTGGTTATTTCACAACTCTGCCCTACCAAAATCAGCATGAACTCAATTCTTAGTTATTTCATCTCACCACAACATTAAAGTGAATAGAAAAGACTATGAGTCACAGCACTGGACACACTTTTACTTGA